AATATGATTTTTTAAACGAGTCGTGCTCTCTCGCATCTTACTCTTTGTCTTTTCTCTTTCTTTTTCCAACTACAATTTCAAATTTCTATTTTAAAAATGTTAATCGATAAAGAAAAGATAATGCTGTTTCTTTATCGAAAATTTGGAGACCATTTTAGATCATACGAAGAAGTAACTGATCTACACATTCAATGCTGCATATCCTGATCGCAATTTTATTTCTAAATCCACCGTTCAGAAGACAGTGATACGTTTTTACGAAACAGAAACAATTAAAGACCAAAATCCTTTCAAGCCTCATAACTCTAAATATGCCTAATAAAAAAATACTTTATTATAGGTTTTTGGAAAGCCCTTGAAATAAGCTACAAGAATATGTAATAAAAAGTGGGGGATCCAATTTAAAAAATTCAATTTGATCTTCGTATGACCTTCGTATGACCTTCGTCCTCCACCCAAAATCAAATTTTTAGCCATCATTAGGTACATTTTATTAAGTCCTACAACTTTGCTACTTGCTACATTTTTCGCTATAATTGATCTTTTTCGAGATATTTAACCGTTTCCGGACTTTTTGCCAACCCTGTATACCTGGAACGCGCGCTACCTCTTGAATATTGCAGGATGAGAGAGAACATGCTTGTAGGTCTCGAACAGCGCTGTCTTTGTCTAATACAGTCTAAACCAAAAGCTAAATCGGCTGATTTCTAAACATAAGCTGAATCTCCGAATTAGGAATCATCTTTGCTTTGTTTTTCTTAATACTAAGTCAATAAGTAAATACTAATAAATGAAAAAAATATATATATTTTTTTTATATCTTAAACTTTCGTTCATAAGCTTAAGTCATTGCTATTCAGTGGTCACTGCTTTTCATATTATCTCTAACTTTTAACTTGGATTGTATCACATTCTTCCCACTCTCGACTATACTATGAACCAGACAAGGCAAAAGAGGAAACAAGGAACCTCTCTCTCACACGCCTCAAGAGGCAGCGCGTGTTCCAAGTAGTATATATTTCAGTGATCAGGACTAATAGGTACCCTGAATTAGTGCAAAAAGTTATGGCAAATTCGGTAACTGGCACTAGTGTGCACTGAGTGCGCGTTAAGGCTTGTTTACAATACATTCTTATATTTAAGATCGCGTCTTAAATACATATTTAAAAATATTTTAGCTAATAAAATGATTCGTACGGATGTATATATCATATTATGGTTAAAAATCTTTGAGAATTTATTTAAGACAATCTTTAAATAACATACTATGAACAAGCCTTAGGTAAACTCATGCAACGGAATAACGGAGTGCGGAACGAGAGCGGAACCAATCACGAGCAAAAACTGTGGAACGCTCGTGATTGGTTTCACTCTCGTTCCACGCTCCGCTATTCCGCTGCATGGGTTTGCACCCTTATAGCGTGTTTGACTGGCCCTGGGTTAATCGCTCCGAGAGTGATTAATGACGTCATAAGTCTCTACTAGCCAATCATAAAGCTTATAAGTAGTTGTTCAACCAATAAACGTAGGCTGAATAACTCAGAGTGAGTTAACCCAGAGCCAGTCTAACATGCTATTAGTGCGCACTAGTGCAAGCCACCGAATTTGCTATGAGAAAACGTATATTTGTCTCATTTCAATGTATTGCACCAGTTCAGCAGCTACAAAGAACAGGCCTAAGGCTGAAATTACATGCAGAGTAAAGACCCATCTACAATGAGATTGGCAGTAGGCAGTAAGAGTGCAAACCCATGCAGCGGAATAGCGGAGCAAGGAACGAAAGCGGAACCAATCACGAGTGAAAACTGTAGAACGCTCGTGATTGGTTCCGCTCTCGTTCCGCGCTCCGTTATTCCGCTGTATGGGTTTGCACCCTCAGATGTAAGTGAACAAATTGACCAATCATAGTCGATTATTCTTGTAATAATCGACTGTGGTTGGTCAACTCACTTAATGCTTACGTCTTACTGCCCACTATCAATCTCATTGTAGATGGGCATCAAAACAGCTGCGGAATAGAGAGTGCGTCATAGAAGCAACCAATCAGCGCATAGCGGCAATCAATCAGCAAAGAGCAGTATAGTGCTGATTGGTTGCTTCTATGACGCATTCTCTACTCCGCAGCTCTTTAAAAGGCCATCTAGAATAGTACGCCGTCGCAGTAAGAAATTGACCAACCACAATCAATTATTCTTGTAAAACTCCAGTATGATTGGTCAATTTCTTACTGCTATGGCGTACAATTTTCCATTGCAGATAGCCCTTTACTCTGCATGTAATTTCACCCTAAAGCTAAGACTCCATACATGTGGTGAACTTCGGTAAAATGTTGCAATGACCAATCAAAAGCCAGGCGCAGGTCGGGCTGCGGCAAGCTCCGGCATGAGCTTAGCTTTTGATTGGTCACCACAGCATTTTACCGCAGCTCACCGCATGTATGGAGTCTTATAGCGAATTCGGTTACTTGCACTGAGTTCGCACTAAGACTTGTTCATAGTATGTTATTATAATTAAAAATTGTCTTATATAATTTCTCTTATAAATATTTTTAACCAGTAATATATGTACAACATCTATACGAATCATTTTATTAGCTAAAATGTTTTTAAATATGTGTTTAAGACACGATTTTAAATATAAAAATGTACTGTAAACAAGCCTTAACGCGCACTCAGTGCGCACTAGTGCAAGCTACCGAATTCGCTATTAGCTTAAGAATAGGCCGAACGTGAGGCGCGAAATATGAAGATAAAATAGAAAGAGATAGATAATAGATGTCGTACATCGACCTATAGTATGGACTGCGCTTCCCTTACTTCAGAGCTCGGAATTAGTTGCCCATTTCAGCCGATTCTCAGGAGCTACGCCTTCTTCCCCTTACCGCGAACGGACCACAAAAGTGACAGTCGAGCCTCCAAGCTTGAAGCCGCGATTGACCGCGACCGTCATTTTCGTGGCCCGCTCGCGGCAAGGGAAAAATAGAAGGCGTGAGCTCCTGAGAATCGGCCGAAATGGGCAACTAATTCCGAGCTCTGCCTTATTTTGTTCGTATATGAAACAGAGTTTAGAAAGTAAATGAGATAGCAAATAGCCGTGGATTATTTCTGACTCTTTCTATGAATATGATTTGAGTAAAAAGACATATTTTGGCCGCGGACTTATATTGTTCTTCTTTCGTACCAAGACACACTCTCAACCAGCGTTGCGCAGTCCATTCCATGGGTCGATAGTGCTGTGTATCTTTCTCTATCGGACGATGAAAGACTGGAGAATCAGTAGGGTATGAGAAAGTAGAACAGAGACAAGTAGAGTAGAGATAGTAGAACATGGTTGAGTAACACATATGTATATCACGTGTTGTTTATATCTAATTGCACGAATAGAAAGAGAAAACTACACGGCACCTGCTTTCTATCCTTTTCTACCTGATCTTCAGTCTCCATAAGGATGCGTTCAGAAACATCATCCAGGTACTCTCTCTCTTTTTTCATCTTACTCTTGTATCTCTCTCACTCCAAAGCAAGGGGTACACCGGGATGATGTTTCCGAACGTGCCTCAAGAGGACACGCTCGGTCTATTCTCTATTATGTCTATGACATGCATCTATATTTTATTATACAAGGTGGGAAAAAAACCTCTGAATAACTCGGAAAATATAAGTTTTACAGAAAAATATTTCAGACAAAAGTTGTAAGGTTTAAAAAGATGCATTCAATGGTAATATTTATTTGACCTTGGGTGGCGCCACCAAGGTTAGATCGACTTTACTTTTTTAAATAGAAACATGTATTTTTTTTTATTACAGAATTTTACTCTACGTAAAGAAACAAATAACTTTTGTTTAAAAAATTTTTTCATACGTTCTCTATTTTCTAAGATATTTACGGAAATATCTACAAAATTATTGGTTTCAATAATTTTTTACTCAAATTCTATCAACTATCAAAAAATAGCAAGAGATAAAAATTGTTTATTTTCTTTTCATAGTGCTCTGAGAATTTTTTCAAGATTTTTTATAAACTTTTTAGTACTTTAAGAAAATGCAAGAAAATGTACTAAAAAGTTAATTAAAAAATTCTGAAAAAATGTTCAGAGCTCTATGAGAAGAAAATAAACAATTTTTATCTCTTGCTATTTTTAAAGTTGATAAAATTCAAAGTTGATAGAATTCAAATAAAAAATTATTGAAACCAATAATTTTGTAGATATTTCAATAAATATTTTAGAAAATAGAGGTCGTATAAAAAAATTTTTTCAAACAAAAGTTGTTCATTGCTTTATATATAATATAATTGCGTAATAAAAAATATATGTTTCTATTTAAAAAAACAAAGTTGACCTCGACCTGACGGCGGCGCCATCAAAGATCAAATAAATATTACCATTGAATATATCTTTTTAAATCTTACAACTTTGGTCTGAAACATTTTTCTATAAAACTTATATTTTCCGAGTTATTCAGGGGTACCGACCTTTTTTCCCCACCCTGTATATAATTAAATACTTACTTCGTTTACTTGCGTTTCCAAAGAATATACTTTATCAGTGAACATTTGTTCTATATTATTCTTCAAATTTCTCTGACTGTCTAGCTCCTCCTGTACGCGCGATATTTCTACTTCAAGTTCTTCATATTTCTTTTTAGCAGCGACAAGATCTGCCGATGAAATCTCAATCTATAGTAAAACGTAAAAGTATTATTTATTTTATAAAAACGTTTCTATCACAAATTAATTAACCAATAATATAAAAACCAAACATACTAATACAAGCAATGTATACAAGTATTCTTCGAATAATATAATACTTGAATTATGCAATACATGAGTTATATTGAATTATATAATACATGGAGTTCACATAATACAATTATTCAATAAATAATAATAAACTACACATAAAAAATTAAAAAATTATATGAATTCTTGATCTCAAATCAAACGCGGAATCAATTAATCGCACTATCGAGAAGGAATTTCTTGTATTTTCAATACATTATGCTATACAGTGTGTCCCACCTAAACTAGGCCACCTAAATATCTCCAATTTTTTCTTGCTTTGAGTAACTCATCGCGAACAATAGATCGATAAACTAATAAATTACTTGAAAATGATCAAGTCTTAAGGCTTTCAGAGTGCGATAGCACTAGTTTCATTTTAATTTTCGGAGTCAAAGGTCAATTCAAAGGTAATGTCATATATATATATATATATATATATATATATATATATATATATATATATATATATATATATATAT